CAACTAGGTATGTGTGTATTCTTAGAAATACAGTAGGTAAAATAACTTGGTTTTATCAATTAATGAATTTTTGGTTAATTTACATATTTCCAGTATTTCCCACATGGAAAAATTTGATGCAACTATTCTTTAAAAGTCACTCCTGTCAATGTAATCTACTCAGTTAATGAGTCAAAGATTTCAGCAAGGACAATTTCATTCAACAATTGATTTTACCTACATTTTGTTTATGTTGGCTATGGTTACAGCGAAACTTTCACCGATACCCACAAAGCAGCTTCACTTCCCCCATAGCAACTGCAGCCAAGTGCATCTTATAAGTTCTGTGGCATAACCCAAGTTAATGTCTCTGCCTCTCAGCTGAGAAATCATCTCTCACCTTAGGTTAAGTCCTGATGAACAACCTGAAAAGCAACATGTCAAAACCTATCACCTGCCTGCTCCCCTGGGTGGCTGAGTCATGGCCCTGCTGGCAAGACCTCTCTTAACAAGCCCAGGTCTTCCCTGGGCTCTGGTTCATGAACCAGCAGGGCAAAAAGAACAATATATCCAAAACAGGGACAGCTTATATGGTTGGTTCAAAAAAACCTGGTCTTCCAAAAAGTTCCTGTGTCTTTACAAAATGTCTAGAAGTTTTTAGACATAGGTTTTACATAATCATAGGTAGCATGAAGTTGAAAGTCAAAGAGGCACTAAGCATCACCTCTGAAGAGCCACTGAACTCACTGAACTGAGAAAAACACCCATGGCCAGAGAGGTTGTAAAGTTGTCATGTTATATTCGGTGTGTAGAAGAACCTTTTTTGTCTCCCAGCCCATTGCTCCTTTCTAATCATCTTATAGCTTTGTTTCAATTTGTCATTTCCTTTCTTATTGCAGTACTTCTCACTGCAATTCAATAGTTACTACCAAGTAGAGTGGTACACCACCTGACATGCATAACTATGGGTGACTCAGCATATGCACCCACTCAAAAATGTTCATTTGATAACTTTTCAGAATATCTTGATAAGCAAAACACATTCTTGCTAAACATAAGAATGCATGGGAATTATTTGAGACCACCAAAATATACTGAAGGGAGTCAGAAAATATGGTGAACTTCTGGGCAAGCTTTCTGCACAAGCACAGCGGAGGCTGTGAGCTGCAAAACTTCTTGCTTTTCTTTCCTCCAAATGGTTATTATAGGCCATCTGTACCATCTGGATGCATCATAGTGGGTGGTGATTTAGCAATAGACACATGATAACCATACTGATACCAAGTAGTAGAGTGACAGTGCAAAATTAAGAAAGAAGGTCAGATTTAAAAAGAAATGTAATACACAAACCCACAACCAATATTATTATTTCACCAACGGTGAAAAGCTGTAGGCCTTTCCTTTGTTAAGAAAAGGATGGCCACTCTCACCATTGCTCTTCAGTATAATACTGGAAGTCCCAGAAAGAACAATAAGACAGGAGAAAGACAAATATGGCAAGAAGAAGTAAAATTAAAAACTCCACAGAAAAACTAATCAAAATAATCAACCAGCTTAGTAAAGTAGCAAAATCAATATTTGAAAGTCAGTAGTTTTCCTATACACAATAAATCTTAAGAAAACCATCCCTTTGAAAGTTGAAACAAAAATATCAATACTTGGGAATAAACCTAACAAAAGAGGTGAAGGACCTATACAAAGAAAATTATAAAACACTATTAAAAGAAATAGAAAAAGACACAAAGAAATGGAAAGATATCCCCTGCTCATGTGTTGGCAGAATTTACATTATTAAAATGACCATCCTACCAAAAGCAACTTACAGATTCAATGTTATTCCCATACAACTCTCAATGGTATTTTTCAAAGAAATAGTTCAAATACTGATGAAATTCACATGAAACTACACAAAACCTCAAATAGCTAAAGCCCTACTTATGAAAACAATGGAAGATGAAGGTATCACACTTCCAAGCTTCACACTATACTACAAGGCCATAATAATTAAAACAGTGTGGTACTGGAACAAAACAACAATAATAACAGACACACAGATAAATGGACTGAACAGAAAGCCCAGAAATAAAGCCACAATATATAGATAACTAATCTTTCACAAAGGAGCAAAGAATATGCAATGGAATAAGAACAGCTTATTCAATAAGTGGTGCAGAAAAAATAGGAACAACAAAGGAAAAAGAATGAATGTCACTAACTCACACCACATACAAAAATCAACTCAAAATAGATAAAATATCTGAAAGTAAGACCTGAAGCCATAAAATATATAGGAAAAATATATAAGTAAAATCCTACAAGACATATATCTCAGTAATATCTTTAATGACTTATCACCCAAAACAAAGAAAGGAAAGGAAAAGATAAACACCTGGGGCTACATCAAACTAAAAAGCTTCTATATGGCAAAAGAGACCTTAACCAAAACAACAAGACACCCCACTGACTGGGAAAAACCTTTGCAGTCCATACAATGGATAAGGGACTAACCACAAAGATAGAGAAAGAACTAACACAACTTGACAAACACAAAATCCAGTCATTAAATGAGCAGAACTTAAAAGACATTTATTTCCCAAAGAGAATATGCAAATGACCAACAGATATATGAAAAAAATGTTCAACATCCCTGATAATCAGGGAAATGAAAATTAAAACCACAATGAGATACACCTTACACCAGTAAGAATAGTACATATATTAAAAACAAAAAACAAAAACAACTAGCAACAACAAATGTTGGTATAAACATTTGTGGTATAAAAGGAAATCTCCTACATTGTGGGAGTGCAAATTGGTCCAACCACCTTGGAAAGCTGTATGCAGATTCCTCAGACTACTAAAATTGGAGCTTCCATATGACCCAGCAATTCCACTTCTAGGGATCTACCCAAAGGACACAAAAACACTGACTCAAAAGGATACTTATATCCCTTTATTGATTATAGAACTATTAACAATAGGTAAAACCTGGAAACAACCCAAATGCCTAAAAATAGATTGGGTCAAGAAGATGTGGTATATATACACAATAGAATACTACTCAGCCATCAAAAATAACTTAATGCCCTTTGCAGCAACATGGATGCAGCTAAAAGGAATTATGCTCAGTGAAGTAACTGAGAAGGATAAAGAAAAAATATTAGATGGCCTCACTTATAGGAGGAATATAAACGAACCAAGTAAGACATCAGGGAAAAATAATAACAATATGAAACACAACAAAACAAAAACAAACATACAATTATAAACCAGAGACATCCTGCAGAGGGGCTGGAGAGAGCAGGATCAAAAGGAGGAAGGGAGGAGTGCTGGGGACTGTGGTGATGGTGCCTGCATGAATTGGGGGAGGAAATTCTATGATGACTACATTTGAGGGTAGAAAAAGCAAACATTGTTTAAAAATGAGCAATGATGTAAAATGTATAAAAATAAATAAATGTAATTAAAAAAGAAAGGTTGAATAAATCATGGACAAGATGTTTTTTTAAAAAAAAGAAATATAACCTTATTCTTTCAAGTTGAGAAATTCAAATAAGTCAGTGATACCTGGCACTAGTGACTGAACATAACATGGAAGATGAAATAAAGAAGCCATTTTTTGAAGAGTTAGCTATATATGAAATACACACACACACACACACACAGACAAGTCCACTTGAAGAGCCACCCCAGTAGACTGGAAGCATTATACCTGGTTGGGGATCTGTGACTGACAGCTTATGATGTTCAGTGTGTTTTTTGATAAGGTACATCAGTATCTTGCTCTCATCCACCAGTCAGAGTGTATTGCTGCCTCTATGTATCCTCAGGTTTTCTATTTTTTTTTTCATTTCATTTTTGTAGCAAGCTTATATTGCCTATTTAGATTTGATCCTTCATATACCTTAGAATCTCACATGCATAGGGATAGTAACCTGCACAACTGTGTGTCTGCACATTCAATTTTATTCATTGTTATGTTGGACTTGAGTCAACCATCAGTTGGTAAATTCCAACAGAAATGTAAGATTTGAATTATTTAAAAAATAATGCAAATTCCCTTCAATTTAGAAATGTTAAGAGTTGAAATATTTAAAAAATTACATCATCTACTCCCTTCAATTTGTGTGTAGAAACACACTGCTAGCTAATGAAATTACTGACATGCCCGAATAATCAGTACAGAATATATTCAAATATGAAAATGTTTCATTACTTTACTATATGTCTTACTAGACATCTAAGACTCCCAGGCCCTCTTAAAAACCTAAATGCAATCCAAATATCTGCTGAAGAAATTGGAAATAAAATTGAATTACGGGTCATATATCTAAGAACATATCTGTCTTGAGGTTCAGTCTCTTCATCAGTAAAGGCAAGGCCTCTGGTTAGGTGTTTTTTGTTTGTTCTTTATGATTACATATTTGTTACCTTATTTCCTTCATTGAACACAGAAATGTTGGCCTAAATTTCCTTTTTCATCCTTTTTAAAACACAAGTGAAAAATGTTGACTTGAATTATCCAAGTAACTGTCTATACCTGAAATATAGTTTGGATTAGCAAATGAACTTTAAAATGCCTCTGCCCCTAAAAGTCAATGGCTGAGTACTGATCATGGGTGAGGAAATATAGAAATTCATTAAAAACATCAAAATAATGCTGACTATAAAATACCAATTGAATTCTTTCACTGAAAACACTGCATTATGAGGAATTAAATTTTAAGATATTAACGGCACAACTATATTATCCTCCCAAAAGGGTACAGGAGGAAAGAAGGAAGATAGGAAGAAAAAGAGGCCTGGGAGGGAGAAAGAAGGAACAGAGGGACAGAAGAAATAGGAAGAAAAAAAGAAAAAGATATAGAAATGTTAATTAAATACTTTTTGCCTGGGAGGAAAGAGGCATTGGTAAAAAACTTAATAATGCCCCCAGGAAATAGAAAGTTCCTCTTTCTACTATCAAAACACACAAGTAGAATCTTTTTTCCTTTACTTATCAAGAGGATCTAATTTATTACCTTCAAAGTCCACATCTCCGACTAACTTTGTCTTTCCTGTCACTGGGTCAGGGACGTAATTAATACCGACGTCAATTACAGCAGCACCTTCTTTGACCATATCCGATGTAATTAATTTTGGAATACCTGAAAGCAAAACAGTCATAAAAAAAAAAACTCAAAACTTTGTGCTGTAGGAAAACAGGTTTATGCATCCATTATCTCTGTTTTAATGGTTTTAAACATTATACAAAATATATCCTTCCTAAGAGGTAACCAGGGCTATGATCAACTCTGATGAAGCAGAAGCACTTCAATGCAGGTTTGATCCCCAGCCAGGGAGGTGACCCATAGTGCAGCAGACCTCTCCTTTCTCACCAGCTGCTCCCTTTAGTGTGTATCTCGTCCATCTGCCGGTTCTGCTTCTCACTCTGGTGAATCCTCTCACCACCCCTGTACCTCTGGCCTGTACCTCAGTTCTGTATGCATAAATAAACATTTTAAAAATAATACAATAGTTTATTTTTACATCATTGTGTGCCTTTTTCCATCTCAGTTGTAACCCCCGTGGGCTTCCCATCATCAAATCACCTGTGTGCCATCACCATAGTCCAGTGCATGCCCCCCCCCATTTTTGATCCCATTCTCCACTCCACCCCCATAAAATGCTTCTGATATATAGTCGTTCATTATTATTATTATTATTATTTTCTCCCTTGGTCCATTATATTCCTGCTATGAGTGAAACCATCCAGTATTTTTCCTTTTCTTTCTGGCTTATTTCACTAAGCATGATCCTTTCGAGCTCCATCCATGTTGCTGCAAAAGGCATGTGTTTAT